TAATGAGGTTAATCATAGAATCATCGGGGTAAATCTAAATTGTACACCTCCTAACCGACTTCTCAGATCAGAATCGAAGCACGCAAAACAGGTAAGTGAAAGGGCTCCAATGAAACTCCTCCTTTCACGTCACTCGTCCATTGTAGTGCTCGCCAATCATCCTTTTTCCGGGAACTTCATCGTAGCGTCATTACACTCATGTTATTGCTATTAACATACAGATTTTACTACTTTACTTATATCTTCCGCTTGACGTTTTGAGCGTTGAAATGATTGGTTACGCTCAATTAGCAAGCAGCAGGAAATTAGTTCTCTAAATCATTACGAGATATATATATATATCTGCGATTGGCCTGTCACTTATTTCCTCGACTATCCCACCGACAGTGCGGTTGACGCTAACAGGACCAGTTTGGGTCAGCGGTGAATACATGCCGTATCATTCGTACGACAACCAACTCTTCATTCATTCTCTCTCATTTCGCAATGCTACTCGCAATGATAGCTATTCCCAAGCTAAGACTGCATGGTCCACCCACTGACGAGCTTGCAATCAAAAGTTACTAAATAAAGGGAGTTAGCCTTTTTTTACAAGTTTTTTTCAAAGAGATTACTTCGTGCACCTGCAAGCTCTCTCCCACTGAAACAGCAGACGGAACTTTTTGTTGTTTCCTCTCTTCTCCGACTCCATTCCCATTAATGAGCTATGAGTTCATTCCAATACTTTAGAATGTTCTCTCCAAAGACAAAGAAACAGAGAGTCATGAAGCGCAATGCACTGTAATATATCGTTCGTTCATCAAGTATTAACTACAGAGTGTTGTTGTTTTTCTCCATCGTCGGAACACGCGAGTTAAGTCCTTATTGTATCCATTAATTCTCGACTCGCCCACTTGAAGATCGCTATTGTGCTGCTAATTCATCGTGAAATGCAAGCTTTCGGCAAGTTTTCGATGCACATAGCTGACTTTATTCACCTTTCACACTTGCGTTTGTTCTCAGTTTACAATGGATGGCAATCAATTGAACTTGCCACTGCAAGCCATGTTTGTTCAGACAGATGATACCTCGTGGACAACCCACGCTCTTGATTTGTCTATCGCTGTTTGTGTACTGTTCTGCTTATTTTGGGTTCAAAGCCGTCAAATTGGCATATCTTTCTTTCATTGTTTGTCACTGAAGGGAGCAATCGAACCATAAAGAGCTTTTTTGATAGCACATCCGCGAGACAGTAACCCTCGTTTCTTGCTCATTTCTGCGCTTTGTTTTGTTGTGATGTTGACATTCCTGACGTCTTGCGCTTCCTCGCATAGCCTTTCTACCATCCCTAGAATTCCATGTGCGTTTGCAAAGCACTGCGTTCCTTATCGCTGAATGCTAGGAGACACACGGGCCCGGTCTGGTTTGTCACGGGCCATGTGTTTGTTGCTCAACCGGCTCTTGTTTTCTTCGCGGTTATTGCTAAATCTTGCACAATTCTTTATTGTAGTTCTCTGCAGGGTAAATAGAGAAATCTTATACTTTACTACATAGCATGTAAAACCTTTTCATCGCTTGTCGCAACTTCCTAGAAAGTCTCAAAACTCTACTTTTTTCCAGGGAAGATTCCGACTTCCTAGAAAGTCTCAAAATTCTATTTTTTTCCAGGGAAGATTCCGACAAAAGCGATGTGATAGTTGCCGAATGCGCTGCAATATTAGACGAATATTCACCTTTGCCTTTGGTGCATTTGGCGCTACTCTTGTGCTTCTTTCACTTCCTCGTGACAACTTTGGACGTGAGTCATCGTCTTTAACAATATCTATGTTTATATTGTTAAGAAAATCACAAACTTGCACGCTATCATGTTTATCACGCGGTGAATAATGTTTTCCTATTTTTTTCAAGGCGAAGGGAAGAAAAAAGTGTAAAAATCACATCGCAGCTCATGTATTCATCAATTTGCTGTTCACACAGTTCTCGACTGTGTTTACACAAACTACGTGTTTGTACTAATGCAAAAGGCTGCAGTAGAAAGTACGTTTTCAAACAAAAAATTCCATCACGAAAAGGGATTGATTCATTTATGGAAATCACAATTAATTTCAACGTCAACATTTAAGGAAAATATTATTGTTGACTGCACAGTT